TACAAGCAGAGACCCCCAGAGGCTAGCGCGCCCAGCGCAGGTATGCCTGCGCCTGGCGGGACTCAGCTAGAGAGCCCAAGGCTCACACGCGCCCAGCGCATGCCAGGCAGAGACTCCAAGGAGTCTCGCGCGCCCGGCGTGCCCATACCCGCGCCTAGCGCGAGGAAGGTAGAGACCTCCCCTTGGTCTCGCGCCCAGCGTAATTCAAATTGCGCCCAGCGCCCACAAGGCAGAGACTCCCAAGGAGTTTCACGCCCAGCGCGACAAGGGCCGTGCTCAACGCAGCACATCAATATCAGCATATACAATACAACACACAACATATTCAACACATAATACGGCTCGTTCACTTTGTTTACAACTCGTCTATCTTGTCAAATTACCCACCCAAACAACACCAATCAACCTAAGCACCTAAAACAACTTTCAACTTAACCAAAATCACTAAAATGTGAAATGGCAACTTCCACAGAAAATAACGCATCAGGAGTTATACTACTCCTAACATACTCATCCTTATCTCATATGCAACATAAGAAGATTTACTACAACTCTCTTGAAGACACCAAGTCCAAATTCCTTCATCTACCTTGTTAAAAATTCTAAAAACCGCAACAGCTATAAGTAATGCTGGCAGCTTGACCCCTCTTCACTAAAATAGACATATCTGGAGTTCTAAAACTCCTTTTTGGGTGATTCCAGCGCCATTGGAAAGCTAACATCCAAGGCTACAACTTTCATGAAGACTATAAAGTCAAATTCTGACATTCAAATGCGCGCCCGGCAAAATTCTCAACCAGAGACCTACAGAGGTCTATTGCGCCCGGCGTGGTTCTCCCCGCGCCCGGCATGGTTCATCCAGAAATTTCCCATTTCAAATCGCGCCCGGCGCGAAGAACTGAGCCCGGCGCAAATTCAAACAGCAACTCTCCCCAATTCGAAAATTCCACCCAAAACCTGCAAAATCAACTTCCCAGGCACATGCAATCGGTCTAAAACATCACATTTTCATCATACAACCCGAAAATACCAGTTTTTTCAACATGCATCCATCAATCATCAAAAACCCAAAATTTTCTGAAAAATCCCAAAGAACCCCAAAAACGAAAATTTTCACACATAGCCACAAATTTTCAAGCAATCAGCCATAAGTTGAGTTCGTGAACTCGATTTTCAACAAATCACAGCCAAGCTAGCTTCCCTTACCTCGGTTTCAAAATTTCCGAGCTCCGGGAGGCACAAGGAAGAAGAAGCTTGAAAGAGATGGGGAATGAAGAAGGAAGAAGAATTTCGTGCGTCCGCAAGCTCCTAGATACTTATTCAGCACCTTGAATCCAAGCAACAAAAGTGTGATCAGCCAAAAGAGAATGGATGGGGAAAAGAGAGAGAAAGAGAGGGTTTTGAGTGAGAGTTTGGAGGGGGAAAAAATGTGTTACCAGCTGTGGGTCTCACAGATAAACTCCTTTTTTTCTTTTGTGAAATTAGTATTAAGTATGAATATTTAATTATAAATTATTTTTTAGTTATAATTTAAGTATGAAATTGTTTAAAAGATATTTAATTATAACTTAATTTTTTTATATTCTTAATTTTTGTTGTATGTATTAAGCATATTTTTTACTTAATGTTAGAGACTAATTTCTTTAAAAAGTATAAATCATTCAAATGGTTGATATTTTTTTCCATGGTTAAGTATTGAGCACTTATAATACGTTTAAGAAATTCAGCTATTGTTTCTTAGAATAAGAAATCCAGCTATCTATAATAATGTTTGATTTTTTTTTGGTATATTTTTTAAATGACTTACTATTTTTTTACAGGAATAATTTTCTATCTTAAAAAATATATTAATAAATGCAACTTGCTTTTACAAATTATTGATTTAATTTTTTATTGAATAGTTTTATTTTCATCAAACAATTTTTTTCATCAATCGAAATTATAATCATAGTAAACCTAGACACTAGGATTCAGGTTTTTAGTTAAGTTAGATAAATAAATGACATAATCAATTATTTACCTAAATAAAGTGTATTGTTTTTTTATTAAATAATTGTAATTAATTAACAAGAAAAAAAATAAATGCTATTATTACATCCATTCATGTGATTTTTTTTACACCGGAAAGAGAAATTCAAACATGTGATTTAAAAGCACTATTAATCAAATTCAGATATTATTTATTTACTTTAATTAGTAATTATATGTTTGGATAGAAGGGATTGTTTTTTTTTTTCTTCATAAATTGGTGAATTGGGATTTCAGTCCTAATTGATCCAATTATATTCAAACAAATTATCTTTCATATATAAAAGGTAAAATTTTAAAATAAGTTTGGATAAAGTTTTAAGAATTTTATTATTTATAATATAAAGTTTGAATAAAGTTAACCTAGTTATGGGATTTTAGATGCCCTAAACAAGATTTCATGTTTTAATCTTGTTTCATCTATTGTACACACAAAAATAAGGTATAAATATTTATATCAAATTTTGTATATATTTATCTTAAAATTTTTAGCTTGTATTTTTTTATGTCAAACTTGTATCATATTTCATATAGCTATTAAACTCAATAGTGAATTAAACTTAATATTGCTCTAGAGTTTGAGAAATTTATCTAGTTCTTGGGTTTTATCCTTAATTATTGTTGTCATTAAAAAAACTAATATCTAGATCGATGAATTTGTATGGGTTCAAAATGCAATTTATTTTTGCGGAGTGAGATTTGTATCCTTAATGAGTTAATGCAAGTATATAACCCAATTATTGAGAATAGAGAAAAAAAATAAGAAAAGGGTGACGATTTTTTTTATCTTCAATAAAACAGTTATGAAAAGCCAAAGCCATGGCAAGCCAAGCCGCATGACTAGCTGCTACAGTATGCAACTTGGAAGGGAGAGGCAGCGGAAGGAGATGACAGTCAAAGGTTGAATGATAGGCACCACACAGAATAATAAGTAATACCAGTAATAGCAATGTAGTATCATCATATCATAATCTAAGACCTTAGACACAGAGATAGATACATAGACGATAATGCTATTAATGCGTCTTTTGTTTGTTTTGTTTCGTTTCGTTTGACGTTTTTCAATTATCATCACACAATAATCCCACTTATTAGGCCCTCGCACTCTACGTTACATCACATCACCACTACAAACCAATCACTCTCTCACCCCTTCCCCACAAACAATTTCAGACTTATTCTAATCAACTAATCTTATGTTAATTAATTTGTCGTAATTATGTACTTCAAAATTAGCGATAACAACAGGTTTGACTGTCAAAATTAAAAAATATATATATATTCCGGTTTTAAAAGTTATTAGAAATTCATTTTTCTGGTAATTTAATTTGTTTAATTTTTTTTAAAAAATCAAATAAGTCATAGTGTCATAGATGGTATCTATTTGTATACTAGTAGTTGTAACTTAATAATATCGAGTTATAACTTAGAATATTAAATATACAACAATATGAAATGTGTAAGATTTTTTTTTTTTATCATTCATAATGATTTTGTTCGATTTAAATGAAATATTTTATTTTTCGTATAAGATAGATGTAGTCTTAACTAAAAAAAAATGTTTGTATTACTGCTAT